TCTTCCCGATTACAATCAGAATCGAATCCAGCTTTATAAGAATCTCGGACTAGAGGGTTCGAATGTCAAGAACGCCGTCAAGCTTGACGCGGTGCCGTTGGCGATTGTCGAAACGCCGATCAAGAGCCCGGTGCCCGCGGTTCCGACTGTCACCAAAGAAGTACCGGTTGTCACTGCCGTCTCCAGTCAGAGTAGAACCCAGATTCATGGTAACACCAAGCTCGAAGTAGCTCTACCGATCGTGAGCGGACCTACCGTGTACGTGGCGACTTCCTATGCTCAACCGATCGCCGCCTGGCCGATCTTGGCAACTCCCCTCGCTCAAGCCTCTCAATATCGTAGTCAGATACACTTGAACGAAAAGCGCGTGTGGTGACGGAATAAGGATGTCGACCGTGAGGATTTGCTACATATTTATGAGGCGCCTCATATTTATTCTCATGATACTTTTCGATAAACTTGGTTGACTCGATTCTCTTCAGATCTTTATGTCTCTCATTCATAAACAGTATAATATTTTTTAACTTGATTCTCTTTTTACAAGATAGATTCGAGATATAAATTTATAAAAATTTTATAGATATCTTCTTCAAATAATTCTAATAATTATAATTTATAAATTATCTTTTTTTGCGGCTGTTAAAATTAATATCGCATAATTATATGTTGAAGGAGATATTTCATCGTAAAACATTTTTTGATCATAAAAAATATTCAAGTCGTTTAGAGATTAAAACAGTTTTAAGCGGATCAGTCACTTGCAACGCGCTAAAAAAATTAGAATAAGGCGTTCATAGCGAGAGTTCTACGAGCGACTGATCGATGACAAGTTTGCTCATAGTAGCTCGTTGTATGGACATCATCATTATTATTATTGTTTGTTCTTGCTGTGTCATTTTCCAATGTAATACAAGCCTTTCTAACATTCTTGTATTAAATTATTATACGATTACACGATTCATACAATTCATGAAAAAACATCAATGTCAATCTCGTGTGTATAAATTATTACCTTCTTTCATATATAAACATTTAAGACAAGTTTAATCGAATTTTTTTTGCATAACGTTTAATTCATACAAGAATTTAAATTGAACTGTCAGGCTTTATCTAGCAAGAATAGTGACCGGAAGTCTTTGCGACCTTGCAAGTCGTATAACCGACCGCACGTTTATTCAAATTGCGTGCATTGAAAGAAATATCGCGGATCGTCGCGGATCCGAATCGCGGTTTTAATTAGTCAGCACGTCAAGCCCGATTCGTTCCTTTTCAACGTACGCGAAATTTACATCACAATCCTCTGCGCGGCTGGTACATATATTCTCTCATTACTCGGCTCGCACGGCGACGATTTGTCGCTCCACGCCCAAGATGGAACGGAAATCGCGACCTTGACTTGGGATTCTTACACCGCCGCGAATACATTACGGCGATAAACTTTCATGCGCAGATATCGCGTGTTCGTTCGAGTAACGACGAGATTAACGGGGATCTTGGATCCCCGCGCTAGAGTAACCCTATGTACTTATACGTGTCTTCATGACAGAGATTTTTTCGAGTCGCGTGTTTGCACATGCCGGAGAGAAACATCCGATGGGATTATTTTCCACAGGTGGTACGGAATTCTTCATGCACACGCTTACTTGAGTTTTACGAGCGGGATATACGCTTTACAAAGATGTGACTATCGAGCGTTTCGATTTAAACAAGCCTTGACTTCTAAATCATTTCAATTTCCGATTCTTTAATTTCCAATTTCGGGAAGAGAATAAAAAAATTATAACTGTGCAATAAGATATTCTACTTTATAATTATTTCCTTGTTTTTTTACACATGTTAAAACCACAGTTAAATCTAAACAAATGTGTTATTAATGTTATTAAGTGTGTGTTATTAATAGTAATATTTTATCATTTTTTTTTTTTCTAATGAAATGAATTGCATTGATTCTTCTCTATTGACTTTTTTAGAATAATTCTCACAGTTATCGAAATCAAAATTTATTATATTTTATACGCGTCAAACGTCAACTGTCAAACTATCAGATATGAGATCAGACATTGCGTCGGGCCGTTGTTGCTTTCTCGAATTACAAACAGTCGTAATTGCACATAATGCGATATGCAAACGTTGATGCGTTTGTTTTGAAAATGCCTTCGAGAGAAGGTATTCATGATATGCGCCGTGAATGTATATATATATATATGTGACCGTTAACGAAACGAGGTTCGAGGATTAGGGCAACGAGCGCGCAGATAAACGAGTATCCCAGCGAAAGAAGATCGCGACTCAAGATTATGCACAAATGGACTTATCTGAATAATGTCTGACGCTAAATTGACATAAGACAATGTCATCTATTCGGTGTAAGCAACAATTACCACACGAAAACAATAGAACTCCGCCATGCAGTAACTTAATGCCATCTATGAAAATCGGGCACGAACTTATGCAATCATCCAATATATAAATTTAAGAAAATACAGCCATATATCTATTTGTAAATTAAGTTTGAGATATCAGAAAAGTAAGCAAAATTTTTCGATTCTCCTACCAGAAATTTTCTGAATCTTAAATATGTAATCGTCAATTGTTGTAATCGTCTCCGTGACGAAATTCGAGTCATGTATTCATTGAACTTATACTTCACATACGATATCGAGATCACATGAAAAAAAAAAACAGTTTTCGTCCGTACGAAGCGATGACGATGGATCAAGATGGAAAACGTACGGACGGACAGACGGAAGAAGGTGGAAAGGGATACGACGATTCACATGCGCGATAATAGAAACGTCCAGCACGTATAGCGTCTATACGTAGGCATCCGCGACGATAAATGCAGCGCATACGTTAGCTCGCGCCCGCGCGCGGATAACGCACGGTCCGCAGATGGACGGTGCCCGATAAAACGGCGGATAATGATTTCGAGACGATTCGACCGAGTATACACGTACGTATGTAGGCTTTTAGATTATATTCGCACTTCATGTCACGCGAGAGACGCGATAGCGCGCTCCCAATATTTATGTCCGAGATTACGTTTCCGCGTGCATTTACCGAAATAGAGCCCGCCGATGGCGCGTAAACTTGCATCCCTTCGAAATGACTAGACGCGAACTCGCTGAAGACCTACAATAAACGTGGTTGGATATGGTCGACTCGGGGGACACTCGAGCAGTAGACTCGAATCATATGTGACGCTGCTATATTCGAGTTCACTGTATTGAACAAAATTTAATTTAATGAAATAAAAATAAAACACAAATAATAAATTAAAATTATAAAAATTATATAAATTAAAATAATTAATAAGGGATCTTTCTTACTTGTATAATATAAATTTATCTGTAATTTACTGATATGAGAGAGAAAATGCTAGTGTTATATAATTAATTGTTAAATTATTCTCTCATGCTGTTTAATGGTGCATATATGCTATTCATGCATATATATTATACATTACATAAAAATAGCTCGCGATAATAAGACAAAAAAAAAAAAAATTCTCCTACGCTGCAATTTCCATAGGTCTAGCGTACGATACCAACGATATGAGAAAATTAATCTTACGTGCACCTTCTCGCAGACAATCTCACGTCACGATCTATGTGTGATCCACTTTTCCTTATCTGGAGCATGAAAATTTCGCGAATCAGTTATCTGCTCTGGACAGTAATTATACTTTAAATCACCAGTTCCACGATGACCATTAATGTTCCATATCGATTTCACAAGTCAAATATTTGTTTCATGATAACAAAACATTATTATTGATCGTAGTAAAATCCATAGTAGATTCTATCACACAAGTCTTATGTATATATTAGATTTTTAAATATATTAGATTAATTTAATATTTTTACATATATATATATTAGATTTAAGAGTTTAATTAACACTTTTCCCGGAAATTAATTATTTACATTATTAAATACATATTTCAATCTAATGATATCAATGTATCTGATAAAAATGTCGATGATGTCACAATTAATTATGCTCAATTATTACTCATAATAAGCATTGTAATTCGCATATATCTCACGTAACCTATCATGATGCGATTTATCGATCGCATTTAAAATTCCGTGAACAGGTTGATCCTCCGCGCCAACCCTTTATGTCATTATAATACTCGTTAGAGGTATGCTCGCGAGTCCGGGTCATCGCAATTGCCAGCACCGCCAAGGACGAGGGTCGTGTGATGTTATTGTGCCAGGGAAAGGATTCCTGAACGTCTGCGGTCTGCGGCCCGGGAAAAATGGGATAAAAAAGTCAAAAAAAAAAAAAAATTCTCCTACGCTGCAATTTCCATAGGTCTAGCGTACGATACCAACGATATGAGAAAATTAATCTTACGTGCACCTTCTCGCAGACAATCTCACGTCACGATCTATGTGTGATCCACTTTTCCTTATCTGGAGCATGAAAATTTCGCGAATCAGTTATCTGCTCTGGACAGTAATTATACTTTAAATCACCAGTTCCACGATGACCATTAATGTTCCATATCGATTTCACAAGTCAAATATTTGTTTCATGATAACAAAACATTATTATTGATCGTAGTAAAATCCATAGTAGATTCTATCACACAAGTCTCCTCAAAAAGGAAAAAAAAATTAATATCAATATTAATAACATAAATTAAAATGAAAACGAATTTTTTGTAAAAATCTCTTACAATGATCTAAATTAACATATTATTTTAAAATCGAAAAAATATCTTGAACGTGAATTGTTCTCGAGACTCTTTACACTATACTCTCGGCATTTGTAGCACTTCCGAATATACGCGTAAGAATTGTGTATATCCCCTAATAATAAATAGCAGTAATAAATATTTTGCGACTCTAATGAGATAACTACTTACGATGTCGGTTAAGCCGGGATATTATTTATAATAAGGAATAGTCGTACTAATACGGCGAAATACAATACTTATTAAAGTATCGCGATCAATCTTAATTGATCGGCCGGCCGTTCCTCGCGGCTAGCACGCGCAACCTTGCACCGCTTATCGTTACGTGCGCGCGTTAAGGCCTCTTCTCTCGTGGGAGGCAAGCCGATAAAAGCGGCCCGGAGTAGCCGGGGTGCCCGGGCAATCAGCAAATGGAATCGTTAGTTAGTCCCCGTAATCTTCGATCGGACGTTAGTTCCTCCTTGTAGTACACGCTCGCGGCCAACGATCGTGATTCACGATCGCGTTCGAGCCACGCTAGATACCTCATGCGCACGCGTGCTACGTTTATCGCCGTCGACTAATTAGCATATTATTTATCGCCCTTTTATAATTGCCCGCGCGAATTTTCGTACGCGAGAATAACCCCGCCCGGCGATTTACGTCGGGAGTCTAATTTGATTATGCTTTCGAGGAATGATTGTACGGCTTGTATGTTGTCGAGCTCTAAGAAGAGAGAAAATTTATTGGAAATTGTATTATCATGTTCTATCTTCGAGCGCATCCCATGTTGTCGATATATATATTCAACGTTATATATAATTACGAATATTTTTTGTATCTTCTAAAAAAGAAGAGAGTGACGAGAGAGAGAGAGAGAGAGAGAGAGAGAGAGATGCACAAATATACGGAGATCTCGCGATTCGCGCGAGTTACTTAAGCCGCCTGTCACGGCTGTCGGTCTTTGGGAAAGATTTCACGGGTCGTGCTCGTAAATCAGGCTGTTTCCAACAACGCGAAACCGCCTTTACTGACGCGAACAGGCGGCGAAACGGACCTATTTATATTCGATGTCGTCGGCGCGGTGTGCGCGTTTCATCCGGATCAAAACTGGCGTTCCATTCTTGCTGCAGCATGTGCAGTGGTGCGTGGACAAATGAAATCTGGAAAATACCAAAATGTATTTATATATAATTTCAAAGAATTGATAAAAGAGATTGATAAAAAAATGTACGATAGAAATATTGTAACTGACAGTAAAATTTTTGCAGCAAGGAATATTTTTTATCAAACTTAGTTTAACGTTTTTACACATCAGAAAATGCTACATATATATATCGCAAATAAAAGGATAATAAATAATATGTCAGTTGATATATGTATTTATAACGGAAATTTCTTAATACAAAATATTTATTAATGAATGCTTTCTTTCTCAATAGTCCATATTTTATCGTTTTCTAGAAATGGAAAAATTGTATGTCGAAAAAATTGCTGTTAGGCACCACTGTACGCGACGAGCGAGTCAACGATCTCCGAGGCGGGTGCGCAAAAAAAATTTGTCTTACCGTAGAAGGCGAAGCCGAATATCCTATAAATGTGTCTCGTGCGTGCGAGAATACGAGAATAACATTATGTACGAGAAATATACGGATACACCGGCTGCGGCATACGTCGTCATATCAAAAATTGTATGACACGTTTTACAAAAAAGGGTAAGGGGCCCATGAGGGGATATCAAATTCTTCGTACCAATGTTTGGTAAAGCTAAGAAAACGTTCAGTTAAGGATAAAGAGAACATATTTTGCCATCGAGAAACGTACTTGCTCAATGAGCAAAACGTAAGAGACGAGATACGTAGTTCATATGTAAACAATGAGTAAAACGTATAAATGTTGGGAAATGTAATATTTACTAGATGGTTGGTGGACATTGTGTACCCACTGGTAAACGGACATTTTGTGTGTACACAAAGCTGTGTACTTAAAAGCTTGTCTATTACAATAGAATTGCTGCCCGGATATTGACCGCCAGAGACAAAATCACTACTGAAAAAACGCCAATAAGAGATATAATAAATTATGCTCCAAAATCATTCGCGACGGTTAAAATATTTTATTATAAAGATAAGAAAAATTATACTAAATATAATAAAAATTATAATAAATGACAATAAATTAAAAATTGTCACTTCTTTTCAGCGTAATTTTCTTGAGAAAATTTTTTACTGTTTTTAAATGTGCAATTTATTTTCACGAAATTTTATAAATTGAGCTTAATGGTACACTGTATGGCTAATAATGAGTTCTACCGCTGTGTCCAATGCAGCAGCTTTATCCCGCAATTAAGATGAGATCGCTATTCATCTTCGGCCGCGTCGTAACTCCGAGTTGCAAATTTTTCTTTACGGCACTATGCCAATTTAGTTATTTAGATCGTCTTTTTTAGACCTATCAATAGGCGTCGTTATAAACCGTGTATATATGTATATATTTTATACTCACGTTGCGACAAGTTGAAAGAAAAGGATTGACAGTCTCGCGCTGCTCATTTCGCGATTATTTCAGGAGGAGAACTTTCACGAACGGAATACGAGAGAGTTTGCAATACCGAATGCTAACTCTTTCCAAAGTAGGAATAAGTTTCATTTGTAATTAAGCTACGTGATAGTTGTTTCGTGCGGCATTGAAATCATTGTTGATGGCTTCGTCGACAATGGAGCACTTATGACGGTAGCTAAAACGTTTCCAGCTTCGCTAAAACGGATGGCGACTTGAGGACGCGAATTCTGTGGGAGCCGATTGTGGCTTGTGTCTTTAAATAGCTCGAAAGGAAGCTACTCGAGAAGTTACAGAAAAAAGCAAGAAATGATAGTTGTACATATTTTTTTATTAAATATAAAATATTATTTTTGAATATTAATTATTAAAATTTTTATTTCTATCTTTTTTGTTGAAACAATTTTGTTTAAATATAATAAATCATGGAAAAAAGAATTGAAAAGTATATTTAATAAAAAGAAGTTACCAGTTAGTGTTTGTATTGCTAATTGAAACTGCGACGAAATTAGAATTCAAGATTACTCCAAAATGTCTGATTAATTTTATTGAGAAGCAAAACTGATCTTTTAAAATTGACTCTGAGATAATAGATTGGATTTCTCTCCCACATTCTTTTTCTTTTTCTTTCCTTGCATATAGCGAGGGAATTGATAGTTACCATTGTTTTTGTTCCACGAGGGGTTGATTTAGGATCACTGCTATACGCGTCGTCTTCTCGTTGTATTCTCAACAGCATTGCATTGCCGTATGTATGTGCGGTTAGATAGTTGGCTCTACGAGTCACATTTAATACGAGAGGAGAGAAAAGAGAGAGAGAGAGAGAAAGAGAGAGAGAGAGAGAGAGAGAGAGAGAGAGAGAGAGCACCCGTTTAGTGCCAATGTCAAAACCAACGCAACACCGCCTACATGCTCGTGTGTTGTCGGCGAAAGAAGGCTCCTCTCATCGTCGGCGGCGACTTGTTGCGCGGGCGAACACGTGAGTAATTCCATTGGAATTGATGAACTCGTTACGCTCATATCGTTCCCTTACATCGTCGGATTAAGCGTGCCGGCCGTAAATTCGCGGCGGGCGTTATTTATGCGATCGGTGGCGCGGAGGGGCGGCTCTCATATGAGGGGGCTCTTGCGGCCGTTCTGGACCTTCCCTAAAGAGATGCCACCTCTCGACGTCAAGCCAGTATCGTTTCACTCTCGCCGCCCTTTAATTGCATTCGCAGTTAATTGCGTTCGTTTCTACTTGCCGAAGATCGGCGCCGCCGACGATCTTTGTCGGCCGTGAACGCCACTTTTAATCCCTTGGCGCGTTTAATCTTGCTCCATATCGTTGAAAGCTATGCTTTTATCACGACGGATTAAATTAGATGTCGAATTTAATTTTTTCGTGCTGAAACCTTTTATCATATGTAACATACACGGTCTAGATTGCGATAAAGTCGAAAAATATTTCACATATAGAGATCTCACAAATTACTTCATTTATCGGATTCTCTCCAAACAAAATAATTTTTTGAAAATTGCTGCGACTGCATAACTTTCGTTTTCCGACTGATAATTATTTATTGTCGATATTCTAAGGATGAATTACTTAGATTTGATTCAATGGAAAAACGATGTCGCGCGAGCTACTCTTGAGAGAGATTCATCTTGGCTACGTTTAAGCGTGTTATGGCGTTGTGTAATAGCTAGTATTTGCATTGGTATGCGCAAGACCATCTCTTCCGTTCATTACATGCCCTCCAATGTCATTTTGTAGCTCGTAATCACATGTACGTTTATTGTCTTAGCGTTGTGACAGTACGAGGCGCAGACTATTACGTATTTGGATAGGTGAATATGGAGTAACTAGCAATAATGCACTCAGAGGTAATGAAGATCGCGCGTATAAAGATCCGCATAAATTACGCGCGTGTCTTTGATTAAAACCGTAATAAAATATTCAAATGCAATGATAACAAACTATCAAAGGAGTAGTATTATCAGTTGTAATCCAACAATAATTTCAACGAAATATCAATATATCAATTCTAAACGGAATTCGGAAAATTTATTTAAATAAGTTGTTTTATATACACGGATACAATATTACGAAAAATTTGTGTCCATTGATTCTTGAACATTTTTGTTAGAGAATTAATTTTAAATTTGTCAAAGAGATTTTATTTTTAGATAAAAAATAATTTGTATGTCTGTAAAGTTTAAAGTGTCATATTGGCCGCAGATCAAATAATTTATATACTTATTTAAATAATATCAGATCAACGAATAAAGCCCACTCAATACCTGCTGCGAGGGAGAGATTTAAAATCCGGTCGACTAGCGTGAATTATCTCTCTACGTTGCACAACATCGCTTTTATTACGATGTGCATTCGTTCTTATTACGCAGGGTGCGTCGAAAAATGCGCATCCTTGGCGGGTGCGTTCGGTGCACGGAATGCGGGAAAAATCGACACGGCTCGTATTCAGCGCCAATAAATATTGATTTATCGGTCTGGAAATCGAGCGCGGGGTGATTTGCGACCGCGGGCAACAGGCCCGGGCTCCTAGGGCCCCGCAAGCGCGCTCCGTGCCCCGTAGGGCCCCGCTAGGGCCCTGATACACGCGAGATGCTAGGTGGGGAACCACCGTAAACCTCCGCGCGCGCGGCTGATCCACGGAATCCTATATAAGAGGATGCGACCGAGAGAGCTTACACTCTCACATCCGTTACCCGACTCTCACCGGGATTATCCTAGACGAGCGAAAAAAAAAGTCGCGATCGAGGGAGCGGATCCACCACCACCACCACCAGTTACGATCGATCGACGGTTCATCAACGGTCTGATTCACCCGAGGATGATCATGATAATCGTGAGTGTGAATGTCAATTTTACGTATCGCCAATTTTCACACTTATCGAGAAATTAAAGAAAGATTAATGATAGTTGAATATAATTTATGCTCAATATTTCAAGATTACCAAAGTTTATTTCACTAACGACCTTTGACAAATTTGATGTTAATTTCGGGGGAGCTTGTAAAGAAGGAGAGAGGTTTCATGGGCTCTCTAATTTAATTTCGTGTCATGTCTCCTCGTGATACAAGAATAAACTTTTAGCATTTTACTCTTGTTCGATATATAAGGAGGATAAATAAAACTAAAGTTTTACACAATTCAATTTACCGTGTCCCGAGAAGAATTTTTCGAAGTTAAAGGGAAAACACTCAATACATTTGCAACAGTATCGATTCTATGTTATTTAATTATTCGAGCATATCTTAAGGAAAAATCCATATTAATGTCAACCAACCTCTCTTGCACCGAATATATCAAAATTAATATACGCGACGATAAACTCAACACACATTGTCCCGATAATAACTATTGATTTGAACAAACTGCGAGATGGTCGCGATTATTTATTAACGATCAAAGTCCTGGATTTCTCGTTTCTTTTATTTACAGGCGATTTTGTGCAGTCTCGTCGTCGGACGAGCCATCGCTTCGCCAATTGCCAACGTCTGGCTGAGTCCGATATCGGCTCTTTCGCCACTGAGACAGTTCCACATACAAGACGGATCGGGGTCTTATCAGTATTCCTTCACAGGTCCCCATCATGCCAAAGCGGAATCTACTTTGAATGGTATAACAAAGGGTGGTAAGTTTTACTTTCATGCATTTTAATCATACTTTTCTATTGTAATATTAATATAGAATTTCTCTATATAGGACATCTTATATTATTATTATATATAAAGCAAAATAATATATATAACAATATTATATATAAAAATAATATATTATTGTTGTTATATAAAGTGAAATTTATTTGCCATGCCAACGATAAGTGCGATTCGCTTTCATGATCTAAGATGCATGTCGCGAGTGCATAAATGGAATGCATTCTTTTGCAAAGTGTATTACAAGAGGAGCATTATCGGCCTACGTTCACGAAAGAATCTTTCGCTAATGCTCGCTAACATGACGTAAGAAGGACGCCCATACGCCGCATGTCCATCTCTGCAAATTTCCTCCGATGACAATGCACGGTTGCGTGTTTGTGAATCGCGTTTGTCTCTCGATGTAACGTAATGACTCACGATATGCGCACGATGCGCATACAATGTAATATAATGTGAAATTGTATATAATCACTAATAGAATATTTGTCTCTAATTAATGTTATTCCAAATACTAATTAATAGCGATATTTATGGAGTAAATAATACGTATTAATATGATAAACAAAATATAAATATAATTTATATTGCAATTATATTTGTCCTAAGAGCGTTGTTCGATGTTTCCTAGATAATACAATAGTACTGTTTATCAAAGGATATTATCTTTATTCTGCCTTCAGGATATTCCTACATCGATGCAAATGGTATTTTGCAAACGGTCTCGTACACGGCAGATGATCAGAACGGATTCAGGGTCAGCGCGAGCAATTTGCCGCAACCTCCAAAAGATGAAATGCAAACGATACAAGACACGCCAGAAGTGGCCGCGGCGAAAAGAGATCATCTCGAGGAATTGCAGAAGTCGCAACAGGCCAATTGGCAGGATCAGAATCTCTTGTCGTATAAAATCCTGCCGTCGTACTTCAGCTTTGCTCAAATCCAGCAAGATAGAAATAGCAAAACCGAATTGAATACGCGAGAAACACAAGTGAGTTGCAGCTTTACTAATATTTTAATCAAAGTTTGGTTACAAAAAGAGCGACAATAAAATTCGCGATCACATGTTCTTCTAAAACATATCTAGAAAATTTTAATGGAAAATTTTTAATACATTACGATTACTATAAACTTATCACAAGATATGCATATAAATATAAATTTTTTATAATAATATAAAATTAGAAATAATATTAAACAGACTTGCATATACTTATAGTTTAATATTTTTACATGTATAATATTTATATATTTTTATTATGTAAATAGGAATAAGTATTTTGTGTTATAAAAAAGTAAATTATTAATTTTATAGATTTTGGAGTTATCCATGTTCTTAACACTTTGTAATATCTTTGTATCTTTAAACTTAAAATATTTCGAAGTTTCGCGGCTTGTAAATTTGCAAAAAGTATTTTTACGGAATTTTTTTATAATAATATAAAATTAATAAAATTTTCCATCATACAAATATAAAATAAAATAATAAAATAAGCTATAATTGCTTTATATTACGTTTTATAATAAAATTTTTACGATTGATTATTCGAAATATAGGTCGTCTAATAAAATATAGAGTATCGTTTTTTTTTTTTTTTTTGTAATAAGATTCAGAAATTTGCAAAGTGGCATTTAAAAGATCCTTGCGGATAATGTTTTAAATAACTCAGAAACTTTAAAAATTAAATTATTTTTTATTTTTTTTAGAGTACCAAGAATCCGTTCTTGCTGACAAGATCGGAGGCGGAAAGAATCGACGTCCCCAAGCCGGATCCAAGTCTCTCGAAGATAACGCCTGCGTCTTCGAGCCCCACCACCATCTCATCATTACCCACTTCGGCATCATTAAAGGAGAGTACGCTTCTCAAGCGCGACGAACAGTCGCAAACGTCTTCTAATCAGAATGCGTTGCAGCTGGGAAAATTTGTACCGCTTGCCACCAGTATTCAGAGACCGGTAGCCGTGCCTACGTCCTACGTACTTCCGGTGATGCCTTATAGATTTCTTCACAGCTCGCTGCATCACACTCAGGACTCTCTGGGCCAATATGATTACAGTTACACCGGAGACTCGAGCGCCAAAACCGAATCCAGATCGCTCGACGGTACCACCAGAGGAGCCTACAGTTACATTGATCCCAATGGAATTCTTCAGCAGGTGCATTACATCGCCGATCATAATGGATTCAGGGTTTTGGCAACTAATCTACCCGAAGCGAAATGATGAGTTGTAGGAATGTCCCGCGGGGCGTAAAAGCGTTCGTTTCCAAAAAAAAAAAAAACGCGATGTGAATGTCATGTATATAAACGAGATGTCAAAACACATTAATACCGTATACAATTTCCATTTCTGTATTTCGGATTTTTCAAATACTGGACCTCAATCTCGCGAAAAAATTTATTTTTAAACTTGGAATTGTAAGAAAAAGAGTAAAATATTTCTGTAAATTTTGGATATGTCAAAAAACTCATTTCAATCGAGAGATAAAGCATGAAGAAATTAAATTATGATGTAGCTCGTATAATTATTTAATTGATTTTATTTTTATATTCACGCAATTATTATAGCCGAAGGGAGTAAAAGAAAAACGTACCTTTAGAAAATTCATATACAAATACGTTGTCTCGTGTAATAAGTATCGGTGTTGGGAAAGATTTTCGAGAAAAAGTAATACGCGAATGCTTCTCGAGTTTGTTCGACAATTGTTCTCGTAGAAACGTGAAGGAACGGACTTGATTCGTATTCGAATATCCTCTTAAGAGCAACTTTATTTTTTTTGTAACGTTAAGCTTACTTTGCAATCGATATTATTACCAAGTAAATTATTTTACGATATTATAGATATTCTACTTTCCTTAATATGATTAGTCTTGAAAAACGTAAATATATAATGTCATATTTTTAAGATTGTTAGTATATTGCACTCTTATTGATCATATTTCGTAAATACAAATGAAAGATGCATCTTGTACTATTGTCTCTGTGTATCCTCCTGTCACTTTATCGATTCCTTTTATATAGCAATTTCTATATGAAATAATATTAAACAGACTTGCATATACTTATAGTTTAATATTTTTACATGTATAATATTTATATATTTTTATTATGTAAATAGGAATAAGTATTTTGTGTTATAAAAAAGTAAATTATTAATTTTATAGATTTTGGAGTTATCCATGTTCTTAACACTTTGTAATATCTTTGTATCTTTAAACTTAAAATATTTCGAAGTTTCGCGGCTTGTAAATTTGCAAAAAGTATTTTTACGGATTTGTTTGTATCTGAGAATATAAGTTATGGAAATATCAAATTTCATTATTTATTTAAAGGATAGAATAATATGTATATTCATATACAAGAAACATATGCTTGTACATTTTGGCTCGATCGAGCATGTAACGAGAAGGGAAACAGCTGCGATAAATGCAACGCGTGAAACTCTCTGTTCAAAGCGACATAACACATATATATTCTGAATAGTTGCAAATCAACTTTATCCACGTGCACGACTGTCTCATCAGTTTGATACGCGCAAGATGTAGAAACGGGATTCTACGATAATACGCATGACTTCTCTTATATCGTAAAGACTCGACGGGTTATTACGTAAGCATTAGGGTCAGCATATAATCGGTATCGGTCGAGAGATGCCGATAAGAAAATCTCGTCGTGAAAGAGACGTGGATTAAAATGGGCAGTATTCGACGGAATGCGTCGCGATGTTACTAAGATCAGTATGGCTTGAAATCTCTCTCTCTCTCGCGAGCGTGTAAAGTATCGATTTATTTTCGCCAAGCGTTTTAAGTAATGAAAGCGGTCGCGCAATTTTCATACGCAAATGCACAATGGTACTAATTTCACAGAGCGACGAGGAATCGACGTGCGAGGGGCCGACTTCGAAATACGCGCAATACACGGGCGTGTTTACGGGTGAGTTTTGCGCTTAATCCTCGTGAACTCGCGCGGCGTTAAAACGCAGCTGCATTTGCATATGAATATTTAATAGGATGAAAGATGCATCTTGTACTATTGTCTCTGTGTATCCTCCTGTCATTTTATCGATTCCTTTTATATAGCAATTTCTATATATATATATATATATATATATATATATATATATATATATATATATATGTGTGTGTGTGTGTGTGTTTAAAATATAAAGTTTCCAGATTTCAAGGGCCATAAATATGTAAATCCACCTTTATCTCTTTATAGCTTCTTTGAAAACTAGCCTTTGAAAACTCGAACTTTCACGCGCGATTGCAACATTAATCTTTGCTCGTCTTAATTTAATTGAAAGTTCGCGTATCGTAGTTGAAACTAGTTCTCTTCTCGCGATAGACATCTCTTGACTGTGTAATTTAACTTTGCCGCTGCGTGCCCGTGGGATCTACTATAAAAGCGGAGAATGTTAAGAATAACGCAAAAGATGCAAAAGAATTCTCAAGACGCAGAACGTTTTCCAAGAGATAAAATATTTCTCGAGATGGATCAAATAAAATATTTCTCGAGATAGATCAAATGAAACATTTCTCAAGATGTATTCTCGAGATAAAATATGTCTGACATTTACTTTCTACTACTGCTTTAGCGACACTTGCCGCGTTTTCAATAGGCACGTATTTGTCGTGGACATCATCCGCTTTGTCGCTTTATAACAAGAACGACACGCTATCCGTTAGCGATCAGGAAGGCTCTTGGATTTCTTCCTTAGTTCCTCTCGGCGCTATCCCGATTACTATACCGGCGGGACTGTTGGCGGATAAGTTTGGTCGGAAGAGAACAATTTGGGCGATAAGCGTACTCTTATTTTTGTGCTGGTACATTATCGGATTCGCACAGAATAAAATATGGTGAGAAAGTTTACCTTCAACTTTTTATGGTTTCGATATGTGTGTGTGTGTACGTTCATAATAATTATAGTTAATTTAATTCTCCATGTTACGAAAAAAAGATACCAATGTATGTTTTTATGAACGCATAAAAAAGAATCTAAATTTTTATATTATATTCATTAATCACACTATGATTAAAAAATGCATGTTTAAATTTTATTTTTATTGATTTTTATTGCTAATTTGTATTATACAACAATGAGCTTCAATCGGCAGAAAAAAAAATTGTTATGATTTATTCAGATTTTGCTATTAATTAATATATGATACGAGAGAATAAATTTTAATTATATTTTAGTTTTACTAATTTTCTCGTGTCATGTTGTGTTCTCAAACATTCGACGGTCTTACAATTAGACGATCCTTAAATATCAAGCGGGATAAATAACAAGTCCATTTCTTCGAATAGCTAAAAAAATTTTAGGGGTCAGTATTTTCTATTATAATCGATGGAATCAAGCAAATCTAATCATTGTTGTAATGGATATCGATTAAGCCGGGTGAGTCAAGTACAAGTAAAAATCCAAGTGAGTTGGATAACGACGACAAACGGATTAGGATGAATAGAAATTGATTAGATTTGCAAAATTCTAACTGTAAACAATATTATTATTGTGGACGAAAAATTGAAAGTTTTATTCCCTATCTCGAAAAGACGACTACTTGTAAAAGTTACAATATAACGAATCTTGAAACTTTGCTTGATGATCATACAATTCTCTATTCATTTCCGCGTCTCTTTTTCATGAAAAACTCAATAAGTTTAGCTAGATTAATATTATACCGTTGTTCTAATTAATTAAATAAAATTTTTTTCTTATCGAGTATCAATTGTCCCTGTTACGAGGATTTTACTCTATCAATTGCATTGGCTGCATTCCCAGCCAGCAGGAGCGACTTTACTATGCGGTTTCATTGATTTTCTACTTAACTTACGTAATCGAGATTTTCCATTGGAAGGATTTTTCTGGGTCGGTTTGTTGCGGGAGGAGCGAGCGGCGCAGCATCCGTCGTTGTTCCCATGTTCACTTCCGAGATCGTTGAGCAGAGCATTCGGGGCTTACTCGGCACCATTTTCCAGTTGCAAATCGCTGCCGGAATTCTCTTCGCATATGCCACTGGTAAAAAATGTCTTATAATTTTCTATATATGAATATAAAATTAAACAATCCCTTACACAGACAGTGTATGTGTCTTTAATACTACGCAACAAAATCTGAAATCGAAATTAGAAGTATATTAAAATCTTGGATGTATATTGTTGCATATTCCATTACATCATTAATTGTTTAATAAAGCTAATAATAATTATGACGTTAATAATTAAAATTTATAAAAAATTTATAAATGGTATGTTTGCTTTTCAGATAAATTTTAATTTGTATTGCAATAAATAGCCCTTCGTCTATGCTACGTTTGCATCTATGACGTTAAATATCCAATAACGTAAAGAATTAGAGAGAGTTGTTTAATAAAGAATCGCATAAAATAGTTTTGATTTTCGCCGTACGTGATTTCATTCATAACGATAGATATGATGGTAAAATTGAAATCGCGAGTTATATAACACAAGTGCACATGTGCAATAACTTTGGCGAATTGATAAGCGTACGCACAATGTTTGCAGCTTTCACCGATAGTTTGCACGTCATTGCGATACTATGTTCCGTGGTGCCCGCTTTGCTTTTGATCTTGTTCCCGTTCATACCGGAATCACCGGCATGGCTGGTCATGCAAGGTCGGAAGGACGAAGCGAATGACGTGCTGAAACACTTCAGAGGTGCTCACTATCGTACCGAAACGGAATTGACTAGACTCGAGCTCCAAGCTTCGGAAATGCGTGAAGCTCATAAAGCCAGTATTTTTGATCTGAGAAATTATCAGAAAGCGATTTGCATCACTCTCGGTAAAGATAAACATTTAATTTTAGAATTAATTTAATTATAAATTTGTTTTATATAAAATTAATTAAAAAAATATATTGATAATATTTTTATTAGAATAATTATAATATTTAATTTTTTTAAATTCTCTCTCTTTCTCTGTTGACTTTATCAATCTTTATTACATACTAATACGTTGAATTATATGTTAGCATTTCATTATTTAATGCATTCTAGGCCTAATGATTTTCCAGCAACTTTCTGGCGTTTATACTTTAATATTTTACGCAAAAATGATATTTGATGACGCGGGTTCAACTCTTATCGTTAGCTCATCCACGTCGTCGGTGATCGTGGGTACCGTGCAAGTGGTTGCCACTTATTGTTCAACTATTCTGATTGAACGCGTTGATAAAAAGCTACTCTTGTTCATTAGTATGTCAGTGATGGCTACTTGTATGTTTACATTGTCGGGATACTTTCATTTTCAGGTGAAGAATTTATTAAATGTATTAAATATTATTGTAAATTTTACAAATGTGAATTTGTAACAACATTAAAATATTATCTCAGATTTTAAGAATATTAATAATGATGAAATATTAAAATTTAGTTGTATTTGTTGTTTCTGCATCAAAAAATTTGTCAATTAGATTATATGATTTCTAAACTTTTTTGCGTTATTTCAGAACGCGCACGATCTATCGAGCGTCTCTTGGATCCCTTTGCTCTCCTTTACGCTATTCATCGCGATCTTCAGCATCGGCTTCGGTCCGATACCGTGGTTGATGGTCGGCGAATTGTTCACGAACAACATGAAGAGGACGGCGAGCGCTGCCACCGCAATATGTAATTGGACGCTGGCTTTTCTGGTGACAAAATGCTTCCAGGACATGATCGATCTTATGGGGTTCTCCTCGTCCTTTGCCACATTCGGCATGATAAGCTTAATTGGAACTATATTCGTTTCCACGATGGTGCCGGAGACGAAGGGCAGAAACGTCGAAGAGATTCAAATTGAATTGTATGGAACGCAAATTAGTACCCTAGGCGAAAGAGATCCCGAAATATGATGATAAAATAATTCACTTAATAGTTGAAATACTTCTTCAAATCATATATAGTAAAACTAATGCTTTTATTACGTACCTTGAAATGAGAACGTGCTCCGTCGTTGAACTCCCGTTCAATTTGCGATGTGAATTGCGAAAGATTACAAATTCGTTTATACGTATTCACATATTTATTTTCCATCCGTTTTTTTTTTTTTTTGACATATTTATACGATATATCACATAATACATGAACCACGCATTGAAGTCGATCGGTCATCTCGCCGCCCCCGTCGAATTACAGTTACGTTGCTATAACGGCAATCTAGGGGGTAAGATTGGAAAGTTCCGCGAGTATGCACGAGATATCCCGAATCTCTCGCAAACGTTGGACTTAACGTAGCCCAACGCAATCCGCGCGTATTGTTTTCCTCTTGTACGATATATATGTATAATGTGTGTATATTACACGCGCGATAACAACGATGTGTGTGATGCGATGTTTATTATACAAACGCGCGCGAGATTATATAAAAAAAAATGTACAAATCAACAACATCGAAGAGAGTGGCAATCTTGTTCCGGTTACGTCCCGGAAATGTCTCTCGAATAAAGGGAAAGAAGAGAGAGACGCTGGAGGAAGCGGAGGAGAAAAGGGGAGGAAGAAAGGGAGAAACGCCGATATATACGAGCGTGTGCGCGCGCGAGCATCGGTTTACATAGCAGATAACGACATACTTAACGCTATGCGTACACATAGATATCGGATATGTATGTACATAGAAGGTATTCGTCGCTCATTACGTTCTCGGTCGAACGCGCATTTCGAATTTCGCGCAAGTGTTGTTCGATCTCTATTCTAATTCTTGGCCTGAGAGACAATTCGCGAGATTGTCTCTCGTCTTTCAGTAGGTACCGGTCTCTAATAGCGACGTGGGATGAATGCATTGCGCAATACGTATATACACACGTGTCACGGATGATCAGGAGTAATCAATCAATCGTCCCAGCTTGAAACCGGAAAGGACTTGAAGACCGAGAGCTATACATGACTCACTCGTGGATCGCGTATTAGATTAAATAAATAATTGCAAAGCGATTTTGTGCGGAAGAGAGGAGAAGAAAAGAAGGCACGCATACACACACACACACACACACACCCGCGCGAAAACATCGAATAAATACATTAATTCACACTGTAAAAAATTTTCTAAAAATTCGGACACATTTTTGTCTGAAATTTCAGATCTGGGATTTCTGAAAGAAATTTTGGACAATTTGTCTTAATCATCAGAGTCATTTCTCTAAAAATTCAGAA